ATTTCATGTATCTTTGCATTGTGGTTCCTGTGTTGGCTTTGTTTTTCCTCATCCTGGAAATCTCTGGTTGTAATTTCCACCTGCTGCCACTGTGAGGGGGTAAAGGGCTGTGTAATCTGAGCCCCCTGCACTCTGCCCCGGCTGTTCGCTGCAATCCGCGATCCGCGGGTTGCTTGGTCTGGTCTGGTCGGCTGAGCTGCAGTGTCCAGCTTGCGGGGAGGCGGGGCTCTCTCTTTTGCCTGCTGGGTCCCTGGTGTGGGGGGCTTCTTGTTCGCCCCTTGTTATCCGCTCTCTGGGGTGCTCAGATGTTGATGGTATCCTGTAGCAATTCTGAGTCCTCTGTGTGGGAGTTTCCCACTGGCTGAGAGAGCCCAAAGAGCTACGGTTTTCCGGCAGAGGGCCGCCCCTCCCCCCTCTCTGGGAGCCCTGCGGCCCGGGATCGCTGATCTGATGGAGAGGGAGAGGAGTTCTCCTTACCTCTCCCCACTTCCTCCGGGGCCCAGCACATTCCACTCTCAGATGTGCGTCAGTGTGGATCTTTCTGATCCTGCTTTTCACTGTCTAGGATTCCATTGTTGGTCTGCGACTGTTCCTTTTGTTGTATCTTATTGGGGGAAGAGTTTACAGGAAAGCTCACTCTGCCATGGTGCTCAATTTTTTTTTTTTTTAATTTTTTAAATTTTTTTGTGAGGAAGATCAGCCCTGAGCTAACATCCATGCCAATCCTCCTCTTTTTGCTGAGGAAGACCAGCCCTAAGCTACCATCTATTGCCAATCCTCCTCCTTATTTTCCCTTTTTCTCCCCAAAGCCCCAGTAGATAGTTGTATGTCACAGTTGCACATCCTTCTAGTTGCTGTATGTGGGACGCAGCCTCAGCATGGCCGGACAAGCAGTGCGTTGGTGTGCGCCCGGGATCTGAACCTGGGCCGGCAGGCATGGAGCGCGTGCACTCAACCACTAAGCCATGGGGCCGGCCCCCTCTGATCTTTTCAAAAAGAAAGAATGGAAAGATAAATAAAAAATTAACAAAAATGGCAATTTATGGGGGTAGGAAGAGAAACAGGGGCCAGGATGAAAATTGTACTTCTCTGAATGTACCTGTTTTATGGTTTACACTTAAGAACTAAGTAGGGGGCTGGCCCCGTGGCTTAGCAGTTAAGTGCGCGTGCTCCACTACTGGCAGCCTGGGCTCCGATCCCGGGCATGCACCAACGCACCACTTCTCCGGCCATGCTGAGGCCACGTCCCACATACAGCAACTAGCAGGATGTGCAACTATGACATACAACTATCTACTGGGGCTTTGAGGAAAGAAAAGGAGGAGGATTGGCAATAGATGTTAGCTCAGAGATAGTCTTCCTCAGCAAAAAGAGGAGCATTAGCACGGATGTTAGCTCAGGGCTGATCTTCCTCACACACAAAAAAAGAACTAAGTAGGGGCCGGCCCAGTAGCGTAGTAGTTAAGTTCTCATGTTCTGCTTTGGTGGCTGGGGGTGCACGGGTTTGGGTCCCAGGCCATGCTGTGGCAGTGTCCCACATACAAAATGCAGGAAGATTGGCAGAGATGTTAGCTCAGCGACAATCTTCCTCACACACACACAAAAAGAACTATGTAAATGTTTTATATAATTAAAAGACAAAATTAAAATAAAGCAATTTTTAAAAATTGAAAATAACCTGGTATCAAGTTTGTGGTGTAACTCCTCAGAGAAGAAATATTTAAAGTGTTTTTAAATCACAGTATTTTGATAGTATTGGGATATATTTTAGGGACAAAAAAGAACCCCAGTAAGAAAATTTAAACTGCATTCAGTCTTCTTGTTGTCAATGTTAATATTTGTATTGCTGAGTTTTTTCCCCCAATTTTTTTATGATGATAAATATACATAATATTAATTTACTATCTTCACCATTTTTAAGCATACAGCTCAGTGGTATTAAGTACATTTGCATTGTTGTGCTATCATCACCACCATCCCTCTCTGGAACTCTTTTCATCTTGCAAAACTGAAATACTATACCCATTAAACAACAACTCCCCATTTCTCCTCCCCCCAGCCTCTGGCAATCACCATTCTACTTTCTGTCTCTATGATTTTGACTACTCTAAGTACCTCTCATAAGTGGAATCATACAGTATTTGTCTTTTTGTGACTGGCTTATTTCATCTAGCATAATGTCCTTAAGGTTCATCCATGCTGTAGCATATTGCAGAATTTCCTTCCTTTTTAAGGCTGAATAATATTCCATTGTGCATCATTTTTTATCTATATATCTTACAAATTTGCTTATCCATCATCCACTGATGGTCACGTAGGTTGCTTCCACATTTTAGCTATTGTGAATAATGCTGCTATGAACTTAGGTATACAAATATTGCTTCAAGACACTGCTTTCAATTTTTTTTAGTATATTCCCAGATGGAATTGCTAGATCATATGGTAATTCTATTTGCAATTTTTTAATGGCTTTCTTTTAATTTAATTAGTTTTAACCCTTAAGCTTTTAAAAGTGGACTCAATCAGAAAGCAAGGGTATAGGGGAATACTTTTCCAACACTTGTCTTGTAAACTCAAATTTTAGATTCTTTTTTGGAGTAAAACAGGCTCTTCACCGTTTACAAGCTTATTTCTGAGTTGCTAAACTTCTCTCCATGTTTTTCCCTGTATTACCATGTTTTTCATCTATATTCCCCCATTTGATCATTGCTGCCACAATCAGACAAGAAAGCAAGAGGACATTTTTTCCTTGCATCTGTAGTGTAAACCTTAGCAGCAGACAGTAACTGTTCCAGGTCTGAAATAGATGCATTATTTATTTATTTTGAGGAATCATCATACTGTTTTCCAAAGCCATGTACCACTTGAAATCCTCATCAACAGTGCACAAGAGTTTCAATTACTCCACATCCTCACCAACGCTTGTTATTTTGTTGTTGTTGTTCTTGCTAATAGCTATCTTAATGTGTGAAGTTTTACTGATGTATTTTTGCAAGCCATTTCAAATTCCTTTTGGATCTAGATGGAATAAAAATAATGTTTCAAAAATAATGCTCAATTTGCCTGCAGTCTTTTTGCTCTTCCCCTTCTTTTATTCAAACTACATCCAGCCTTCAAATCCAGCTTTTCCATGCACTCCTTCATTCTTCCTTGGTCTCCCTTTTCTCTGAGCTCTTGTGTTAATATAATTTTGTACTTTACTATGATTTTGGGACTACTTGCTAGTGTTTCATGTTAGTCTTGTTATCCCAGGTTGTGTATTTTTTAGTAGTAGGGACCATGGTTTCTACTTTTCTGAATCATCTAATGCAATGATATGGTATCAAGAAATGCTTCCTTTTTACAGTATAACTGTAACAATTCCTCAACATTTAGCTTACTAACTCTCAGAGCACTCAGCACATCCTACTTAGAATTGCAGGAACCCACTTTTGTCTGTCACAGCTGACGCTTGTTTTATGGATCCTGCAGGACTATTCACTCATTCAATTAACATTTCTTGAACTCCTACTATATGGTGTTCTTGACAAGGCACCCGCTTTCGCAACACCCTTTGAGATGAATCGTCAAGTTCAGGCGGGGTGAGGCCCAATTCTGCTGCTATTTGGGGAAGGGACAAGTAGGATAGGTTTTGGTGTGGGTCCTATACTTGGGGACCACTTCTTCAATAGGTAGGACATCTAGTCTCCAGCCAAAGACAAATCCTGGGTGAAAGGCAGATGCTGGGGTATAGTGTATATTCTGGGTACTAAGTAAGGCGATCAACTCGTCTTGGTTTGCCGGGGACTGTCCTCATTTTAAAAAGTCCAGCATCTTAAAAAACCCCGTTAGTTTCAGGCAAACCGTAATGACTGGTCACCCGAGCTCTATTCTGACTCCCACAACCCACGAGGTATGGAAGCATCATCCCTCACGGCCCCGAGTACATTTCCCCCTGAGAAGTACACTCTCACGTCTTCCCCTCGGGCGTCAAGACTACAATTCCCAGCATGCAGCGCAACCCCTTCCGCACTGTCCTCGGCCGTCCTGGCTCTTTCACGCCCGCGTCCCGGTAGGGCGCGGCGCCTGGGAGCCCGTGCGCGCTGACGTTGACGTGCTGACGCCGTATTCTTCGCGCTTCTTCTCGTCCTCTCGGATTGCCAGAGTCCGGCGGCAGGAGAAGGCGGCGAGTGGCAGTGTTTTGCAGCGGTTTAACAGCCGGAGGGAATCTGGAAAGGGGCCGCCACTCCTAGCTCTCTTTCCTCCGAGTTTGCGACTCCCCGGTCCGAGATGGACAAAGTGTGTGCTGTCTTTGGAGGCTCCCGGGGCATTGGCAGGGCAGTAGCCCAGTTAATGGCCCAGAAGGGCTACCGACTGGCCATCGTCGCCAGAAATCTAGACGTGGCCAGAGCCGCCGCCGGTGAACTCGGCGGTAGGTACCGAACTGGAATTGTCCAGTTGTGTGGCTGCTGTCTAAGCGCCGTAAGCCTCCCCGTTTGTAAAACGAGCGGGTGTGGCCTTCATGGCCCTGAGGTTTAGCATTTCAGCTTCCTGCGTGCAGGAGCACTCCGTCCCGAGTAGCCTGCAGCTGGTGCCGAGACCCCTCCTACCGCCCGTCTCTCGCAGCACGCCTCCTGCCACCCTGCTTGCAGCCGAGGGCTGAACTCTGGGGGTGTTCTGAGACTTGGCAGTCTTGTGAGGCCCCATTAATAAGCACCCAGCTCCCTGAGGCTAGTGCTAGCCATGAGGAGCTGCTTTGTTTTGGCGTCTGGAAGGAGAGAGCCACACAACAGTTAACTGTTTATGTAGGGTACGGGCCTCACCCGTGGCCTGCGATCCTGGGCGCTCGAGAGGCAGGGCTGGGTGCAAAGGCGTTCAGGCAGGAAAGGTAGGCGTGAAAGGCTCGCTTCAGTTTTCCCGAGGGCTCTTTTGGCGCGTGTTTTCGTAGAGAAACTTTTTAGTACCAGCCAGTTTTGATATAGACCTGGTTTGTTTTACTACAGCCATAAGCACTTAAGTTATTAAATTATTTTGGTGACTCTTTTTTATTCGTTGTGCCAAATTTTTCTTCTTATTGCAAACTCCAATTTTTTTTGTTTATTCATTATGGATTAGTAATTGTTTTGCATTAAGTCTCTTGATGGTAGGGAGAAATAGGAGGTGTTTGAAAGATACTAAGACACCGCTATTAAGTTGCTAGAATGGACAGTGCATCTCATTTACTATCAGGGAGGCACTGGGAGGAAGAGAGGCCTGCCGATGCATCTGGTGGCTGTAACCTTTAAAATAACAGTGATTGGGTCACCACCTTGATGTTTACATGAGTGTGGAGAATGTTAGACTCTCTAAAAGAAAAAAACGCAGAAGTTATAGACCAGGGAGAATTTCAGTGAATACCTCTTGCTGCTCATATTCATTGCCATTGTGTTACTGTTGCCCAAGGGAAAATTCACTACAATTAAAATAGATTATTTGGGCCATTTAATGGCAATTCCGGAGACACAGATTCAGGTAGAAACACAGAATGGGCTCTGAGGAAGGGAAGGAAGGCAAGGGTTTATAAAGGCAAAAAGAGGTAAATTACACCGGTTGTTTTGTAAAATTTGTGATTGGCGGTGCCAACAACTGTTACTTCTTGGCTCCTGATTGGTCGCTAAGGCCACCTCTAAGGCAAAAAGTTCTTATCTATGAGAGTAAGCCTATTTCTTGAAAGAAGGTCAAGATGATCACAGTGAAGTGCAGTTCAAAGGTTGCGTTCCATGCGGGTAGAGACATGGTGTGTGTGCATAAGCCCCATTTCCTTAATGGCCTCCCAGCTCCATTTTAGAAGCCTTGACATGTGTTCCTCCATTTTGTTACCACTGTCAACATTACTATGACAGAGGGGTGAAAAAACGGTGGTCTTTATGGGTTCACCCCAAGCCGTTAGTGTTTGCTGGACTAGATAAAAGCCGTTGGTTGAGATTTCCAAGGTTGTGGACCCAATAAGTCAGATGAAAGCCAAGAGTGAGATACAGAGGATGCTTTTGGGCCTTTCATTTCCTTGCATTATGTGTTCCATGAGCGGCTGGTTTTCATCCAGAAAGTGTGACTTCCCGGATGACTTACTGTTTCCAAAGGCTTGAGGGGGTAATTTTAACGGTAACGTATTAGGCAAGGTCAGCCAGAAAATAAGCAGTTGTTTAGTTTTATAAAAACTACATTTTAGACTGTTAAAATGGTGTAGTATTAAATAGAGAAGGCTTTCTTTGAAGTGTAATTTTTTTGGTATTTAACCCAAAAAAAGTGGCCATTTTAAAAAAGAGGTAACAGGGCCGGCCCCGTGGCTTAGTGGTTAAGTGTGCGCGCTCCATTGCTGGCGGCCCGGTTCGGATCCTGGGCACGCACCGACACACCGCTTCTCCGGCCATGCTGAGGCCGCATCCCACATACAGCAACTAGAAGGATGTGCAGCTATGACATACAACTATCTACTGGGGCTGTGGGGGGAAAAAAAGGAGGAGGATTGGCAATAGACGTTAACTCAGAGCCAGTCTTCCTCAGCAAAAAGAGGAGGATTTAGCATGGATGTTAGCTCAGGGCTGATCTTCCTTGCAAAAAAAAAAAAAAAAAAAGAGGTTAGTTGTTTTTAGTAAAAAGTTGGTTTTTTTCATGTTTTGTAGTTTTAGCCTTTTTTTTACAGCTTTTTGCTTTGTTTCATCTCTTCTAAGAGTCAGGCTTGAATAGTAGTCATTATAATACATGTGCCATAGTGAAAGAAAAGAAACTCTAGAGTTTATGCTCAGGTCCGGGAAACCAATTCAAAAACCTAACAGAATTAGACATAAATTTTAAAAACGGAACATAAAACCCAGAAGGCTCGAATTGAGTAGCATGGGGTCAGTGTCAAAGCTATAAATATTATTAGATAAATCTTAAAAAGCATTATGAACACAAAAAGGCCCTCCTTCCTACTTTTTGTTGATTAAAAAAAAGTTTTAAGATTTACATTCTCCAGCATTGCTTCATTTCTCCTTATACCCCACCCACCCCCATCCTGGTTTTGTTAGACTGACCTCCGTGAGAATAGGAACCCATGACATAATCAACTTTTATCTCTAGGTTCTAGATTAGCACAGGCCTTGCTCATAGTAGATGCTTAACGAATGTGTATGAAATAATTTTTCAATTCAAGTTACAGTTGACGTGTAATTCTACTCTAACTTCGTTGTGTAGGAGATCATTTGGCATTTAGTTGTGATGTTGCCAAAGAACATGAAGTTCAAAATACATTCGAAGAGATGGAGAAAAATTTAGGTCGAGTTAATTTCTTGGTAAATGCAGCAGGAATTAACAGGTTGGTCACAAATTTAAGTACATTTCTAATATGTCTTTTTTCCCCTAATGTCTTTGATTAGTGAGTTAATATATTAACTTGTTTTACTTCTAATTAGAAGAAAAACTGTATTTTAAAAGTTGGTCTGTCAATCCATACATTCTTTTCTTTTATATTGAGATATACAATAAGGGTACAATTTGATCAGTTTTAACATGATACCGTAATCAGCACCTGTATTGAGCTATAGAACTTTTCCAGCATTCCAGAAGGCCTTCTCAGTTTCTTCCCTATTAATACTTCCTTATAGGTAATCACTGTTCTGACTTCTGTCACCATATGTAAGTTTTGTCAGTTCATGAACTTAATGGAATCTGTGTGGGTATTCTTTTCTTTTTTAAGATGAATTTAGGACAGAATATTAAAATAATATATTAATTTTCTTGCTAAACAAGGCTCAGTGTGACAATTACTCAGTTCATTCAAGATATTTTGGCTACATTGCACTACTTTTAGCAGTTAGAATTATTTGCCACGCTACCTGAGAGGGGGTAGGAAACTGGCTTCCAAGTGGATCCTTTCTGGTTTATCAGTTATTTTAGTGCGTCTCAAGCCAAGTTTAAAATGGGACTCTCTGGGTATTCTAGCTCAAGTATGCAGCAGTTCTTATACTCTGCTTTCAGTAAAAATGTTCTATATTTCTTGATTTTTTTTTTGTTCTATCACTTTTTAATCTACATGGTGTGTTTTATTTGTTTTTTGTTTTTGGTAGGGATAGCCTTTTAGTAAGAACAAAAACTGATGATATGATATCTCAGCTTCATACTAACCTCTTGGGTTCCATGCTGACCTGTAAAGCTGCCATGAAAACTATGATTCAACAACAGAGGGGGTCTATTGTTAATGTAGGTGAGTCATCACCTTTGTGAATTTATAATTATCTCATAGTACCATATAAATGTTTAATCGACTAATTTGAAATCTATTCACATGTGAAACTTGGATGAAATGTGTCCTTTTGTTATCGGTGGATAAAGGATTTTATTAACTGATTAATGGGTCAAACAGGAATCACAAATTCACATCCTTCTAGTGATCAAGCAGGTGTTAAATGAGTGACACCACCAAGTATTAGAAAAATGACAGCACAAACTGTGTGATAAATGACAAGATGCCCAGCTTCAGTGCCCAAAGGCATTATGAAATGGCAGGGGCAGCCACTGCTTAGATCCAGCAGATTTTTGATATGCACAAACGTGGTCCCGGTTTTGCCAGCTATTTTGATTTTTTAAGAGGAATTGGACATTCTGATTTTTATATGAAACCTAATTTTTAAAATACAGGCAAGGAATGGAAAAATTTTAGATAGTAGGGGCTAAAAAATGATGTCTATGCAGTTCCATGGTCACTGATAAATTTAGTACAAAGGTTTAAGAGGAAGTTTTTTTTAAGGAATAACTGTCAGTTTTTTAGAATGGATATAAGGAACCCCTAGTCTTCAGTCCATCTGACCCATGGGGCAGATAAACCATGTAGTATGTGCCTGTAGACCTTAAAATGCAAAATGACTTGACGTTTTATTTCTATTTGGTAATTTGAAAACAGTGATATACCATCTGCTTTTTAATTTTGAGTGGTAATACCTTAAAAGGCCACAAAAAGGGAGTGCTGCTCTGTTAAAGTAAGTGACCCTATTCTTTTTAATATAGGAAAGGGCTTTCCAAGCCAGAATATATGGTCTTTCTCTTTTGAAAATGAGAAAAGGAAAGAATACTGTGCTAATAAGCATTAGAACATTTTTGACATTTACCCTTAAAAATGTAAGAGATCAGTTTCCTTATAAAAGATTAGTAAATGAGTTGACCTTTGTCTTCTGACACAGCCGGGTAATGATTTTGGGTTCTTGTAAGCTGGTATACTGGCATGGATATATCACCTGATAATGTGGGGTTATTTGTTTAACTCTGAAATATCCTCTTTTTCCATATATTTAAAAAACCCATGTCAGTCCTTTGCATACATGTAAATCTTTTAAAGTCTTTCTAGCAGTAAATAAAAATAGATAATTGAAAATAAATTGAGAATATTATTACAGAAAGGACTACTTTAAACTGCCATAAAGTTCATTGATATTTCAGAAGTTATCACTTTTTGACTGATAAACAATACTGTATGGTGTGAACCAAAACTTCCTGTTTGGCCTTTCTTCCATGCCTGTGTTTTTCTTTCTTTGGGTCTCTCCACATTTCTCTTTTTCCCAAATACCCCTTTGTCTGTCTATCTGTGTTTCCTCTGTCTCTTTTCTCTCCTTCCGTGCTTCACAGTTCCTTTCCTTTGTCATAACTGGCATGTATAATAATATATAATATAGATAAATATTTTAATATTAGATTTGATTATAATATAAAAAGTGTTTGGAATGTTTTCTTTTTCTAAAATAAAATTACTTTTTCAAAAATTTTGTGAGGTTCTTGATACGTTTTTATATCGTTGACTATAGGTCACTGGTGCAGAAAATTACTTCCCTACTTCTGTTTTGCAAGAATTTATTTGCATACAGTTGATATTTGAATTATAAATTATTCTTTCGTATTCGTATAAATGAGGGCACCCAAGAATCTTTAGTAGGCAATACAAGTTATATCGCTGAAGGTAACTAAAGTGCAATTTTACAAAAGTTGATAAGCTTTGAGGCTTTGCTAATTTAGATTGACAGTAGTTCACATTTAGTGGGCTTTGTCTTCAGACGAACTATTTTTTAAGATGGAAATGAATACTTCCTTATGTCTATGTTGTAAAATCATAAAATTAATTAGCCTTTATATGACTTTTTCTGTGTTTTTTTGTGTGTGTGTGAGGAAGATTAACCCTGAGCTAACATCTGTTGCCAATCCTCCTCTTTTTACTGAGGAAGATTGGAGCTGGGCTAACATCCATGCCCATCTTCCTCTACTTTATGTGGGATGCCACCACAGGATGGCTTGACAAGCGAGAGGTTGGTTGGTGCCTGGGATCCGAACCTTCAAACCCCGGGCTGCAGAAGCGGAGTGCCCAAACTTAACCGCTACGCCACCGGGCTGTCCCCCATGATTTCTTCTGGTTTTAACTTCTTCCTACTGGAAGCCTTTATAAATACTTCACAATTTTCATCATGTCTGAACCACTCAGAGATGAGAGGGGTTCCTTTCACTTAAGGGATGAAATCTCAAGCCCCTATCTGGCATTTGAGGTTTTACATAAGCTTCTTTCAGGTCCTATTTTCTGTATATATCTGGAGCAGACTCAGACTGTAAGTCTTACTACTGAAATGACAATGGTTAGAATTCCTAATTTTAGCAAAGGATAAGGCAAAATGATTTAAACCTTTTTTGTTTACTATAAATTATCTGAATATTCAAATAACCCCATTAATTGGTTTGAATTTGCTCTCTTTTTTTTTCTAGGAAGTATTACTGGTTTAAAAGGCAATACTGGCCAGTCTGTGTACAGTGCCAGTAAAGGAGGATTAGTTGGATTTTCACGTGCTCTTGCTAAAGAAGTAGCAAGAAAGAAAATTAGAGTGAATGTAGTTGCACCAGGTCAGTGAAAATTTCTTTTTAAACATAATTTATGTACATTTATGGCTTTATACAATAATAGCAAAGATTGTTCTTGTGTCTGTAAGTACATTAGCATGATCAGGTACTTCTCAGAGAGTATCAGAAGAGGAACATGGAATGTGCACTGTTACTAAACTTGATTAGCAAAATGCGACAGGGAGTGACTATGTCCCAACAGGACTTATGTGGCCACACCTGGCCGCACTGCCAGGCTGTGCACCACCCTTGAGGAGGCCAAGAGTAATGCCAGGCTGTTTTGTTTGCATAAACCACAATGCATTTTTTTGCTAAATGATTACTCCCAAACTAAGAACCACAATAATGTTCTTATTTAAAAATCAGTTATAATTTAAGAACTCTTAAGAGCTGAATGTAAGAATTTGAAGTAGGTGGGGTTGGGGTAGGGGGAGAATATTGGTAACATATCCAGCAGCTGAACAAGTCCAAATTGTATACCTTTGGAGAACTATTTTCAGTGTCCTTCTCTCTTGAGATGTTCCATTGATTTATTGCTCACTGGGATACAACTTTTGCTAATAAATTTCGACTTCGTCAGTTTGTCAAAGCAGAACTTGCCAAGTAATGCATCGAATACCTAAATATATTTCATACATCTATATTACAGAAACAATATATATTTAAAATATCTGAATAGCTCTGTAGTACAGTATGCTTTTAATAACAGTACAAACCAGAGGAAATAAACAAGGCTGCAAAGGTGATATTGTTTGCATGTTTCACAAAGGAATTGTGTACAATAACTGATATGCTAATTACTCCAGAGAGTCGGTATTCATATAGAAAAAGAATTACAGAGGTCATATAATGTTTGTTTTCAAAATAGACCAGATGCCTTTCAGTGGACTTCATTGTACCCCAGAGAGCTACCCAGGATCCATGTTAGAATTTCAACACAAAGAAAAATTTGAAGGAAAAAAAAGATACTTAAACTCAGGAGAAAGAAACATCTTTTTAAAAGTCACTCTATGAAGTAGTAAGATTTTGACAGTGATTTTTAGCTGTAGTTGCCTCTTTAAAGAACTAATGGGGGCTCTGAGGCTTGTTGTGTGATGGCACGGAAGGAGGAAAGTGGTAGTGCGTGGTAACAGAAGTGAGAACACATGTACTCTGGCACCAACAAGTTCTATTACATATGCAGGAGGCACTGCTTAGGGGAACTAAGGTTTCTAAAACCAGACATATTTTGGAGTGGCCAATGATGAAGATGGTTAGAGAAGTGGCTGTTGAATGAATTTTCATTAATGACTTTATAGTAGAAGTGACGGTGGGAAGCTTATGATAGAGTTGCCTTCCTGTAGGAAATCTATCAGGAACACTTGTGTTCTTGTTAAACGTATAGGAAAAACCAGGCCAACAGAGATGCAGTTCACCTGTAGGACAAAGTAAGTGTGATTTGGGCTAAGTACACAGAAATCGGACCATTCTCAAGAAGGCAAGAGGAACATTTTTGTGCACCTGTTCCTTTTATTGTGCTGTCTTTGGGCATTCCACATGACTTGAAAATACTGATGGATTAAAGGGGATGCAAAGCCAGTTAACTTGGTCTGTCAGTTATAGGTAATCAGGAAATATTAAAACGTAATGATTGGAATTATAGTTTAGGTTGCTAAAGGCTAAAGAAATTCTCTAATTCTTAGCTTATGCTAAGGCTTTTAAAATAAATTCAGATATACAACTTCTAGCTGGTTTGCTGGTTTTCAAATTAATTGCTCCAATTTTTAAACAAGTTCTATTCCATTTGGTTGCTATCTGCACTCATGAACACAAAGCATTCTACAAATCACTAACGTCCCTCTTTAAAATTTCCTCCTTCAACTTAAATTTCCACAGTCTGCTAAATAATCTTCAGGACACAGAGAAAGAGGGATGAAGTGTGAGTGCTGACATAATCCCTCAAGGCAGGCTACAAAACCAACCTCCACCTAGACCAAAATAAGAGCACAGAATTATGAGGGAAAACTTTTGCTCAAGCTCAACTCAAAAAGGTTAAGTTGCTAAAAACCCCCAGTTTGAGAAAGGAGCATTGTTTTAGATGCAGGTCTGTCTCCCTTTCTGATCTACAACATTACAAGGCCTCCCAGGAGTGACTGAAAACAGTGCAGCATATGGGCATCTATCAGAAGACTTGATGCTGTGTGGTATGCTTAGATCACAGGATAATAGGAGTGGTTGGATTATCTTTGAAATACATACATAAAAATATGTTAAGTTCTCCCAAACGTGAAATTCCAAATGTCTGTAACTGTACAGAAATGTTGAGTATGGAAATAATAATTACAAATGATTTTAAGATTAGTCAGAAACATCACCAAGTAGTATCCCAAAGTGTACAAACCCTAAGCACGTATAAAATTAGTACTAATCCACTTAGAAATACAAAATGAAATTATGGATGCTGCCTCAAATATCTGGGATTCCACAAATTTACAAGCAGGCTATATAACAAAGTAGACTCTAGTTTTAAGAAAACATTATGGTACAATATCTATTCCAAAAATAATCTCAAGTCCCAAAAATAATGTCAAAAATCATTTATCTGGGTATTACAACCAGATATTGGAAGCAGAACAGATATCTGTACAAATACTTGTACGGATGTGCAAATAACAAAATAAACAAAAAAATAATAGAGAAGACCTGTACAGGCTGGTATTTAATCTATCTTTTTTTCAAAAGAGTTTGGCAAATCCACTAATTCAGCAGCTTGGTAACAAGCTGGTGGTTCTCATGTGAGTTATGTGGCGATGTGAACAGGTCCAAAGCTGTTCAATGGAGGTGCAGAATGGAGAGCTTGGTTCTTTGTGATTCATCAGTTCAGCGGAACACAAGTAGTACAGACAAAAGTTTAACTTATCAAGGACGTGAGACCATCACAGTATTACAAAAGGCATAAACTTTCTTGGACCAAATGGATATTTAAAAAAATAAAAATGGGCTGGCCTGGGGGTGTGGTGGTTAAGTTCGCATGCTCCACTTCAGCAGCCTGGCTTCTTGGGTTCAGATCCTGGGTGCAGACCTACACCACTCATCAAAGCCGTGCTGTGGTGGCAACTCACATACAAAATAGAGGAAGTAGGGCACAGATGTTAGCTCAGGGCCAATATTCCTCAAGCAAAAATAGGAAGATTGACCACAGTTGTTAGCTCAGGGCCAATCTTCCTCACCAAAAAAAAAAAAAAAAAACCCACACAAATGCAATTCTGTATGTATTTATGTAAATACATAGACACATTTGTCTGTGTGTTTGTCTAAAACTTCTTACTAAAATAACTTGATTATGATTTTTGATTTATAGGGAAGGAAGCCATTAATTAGCCTATTAATTGGTACTCACAGATTGACATCTGGGTAGATTAGTTCTAAAATGATTGCAAAAAGAATCAAGTGCTGAACTGGTGACTAGAGAAGAATTCCTTGTACCTTATATTTTATATAAAATCTTTATTTTTAAATTTTACACTAATTATGGAGTAACTTAAGATGGAAAGGATCTTAGAGATCACTTATTCCAGTCATTTTTACAGTTTAGAAGACTGAGACCTAGGAGACAGAGTAACTTGCTGAAGGTACATAGTTAGTTTATAGCAGAATGGTAAAGCTTTATCTTTTGATTTCCAGATAAGTTAAGCTTAAAAATGATGGCCCCTTAGATTTCCTTTGTATCATTACAAACTTTAGGCCTTTTTGTCCTTTTGCTAATATGGTCTGTCTAAACTATCTGGAGTCTTCCAATTTTATAACTTTTTACCTTTACATTATTTGCCTTTTGCCAAGTTACTGGTTGATAAAGTTACCTGGATTAGTTAAGAAGGTAATAAAAAGGTGCTAAATCTCAACTGTACATTATCACTCATTAGCTGGAGTGATAGAAATTTTGGTTATCTATTTACATGACTTTTGAATAAAATGAATGTTTTCCTATACCTCTGCCAGGTAGCTATGGAATCTTTGTCCTAGCTTACTGTAGGTATTTAAGGATTGATTCCCTATATAAGAAAAGACATTTTGTTTTGGTTCATTGGTTGGTTGTAAGAAAGAAAGGAGGCTAAAGTAGACCTTTGCCACCTTTCCATTTCAAGTCACTAATGGCTCCAGCTTAGACCCTAGAGCTGGTGTTTTATTTGGCACTGATGTTGAACCAGCAGGAATCAGGGAATTGTCCAAATGTCCTGATAACCCTTTTGCTCTATAATGTGCCTTCTTCCCAGTTCATTGTTCAGTCTCAGAGACTCGCTAAATTCAAGCATTCCAAATCCATGAACATTTGATAAATGACTATGGTTTAGATACATCCATTTTTTGGGGGAAAAAAAAAGAAAAGAAGATAATCCAAAAGCTGCACTGTCATCTTGGCACTGTTTTCTGCTTGTGCATGCTTTGTGCAACTTGATTGAATTTAGCGTCAACCTAGTTTAACCATATATAGAATAGATTATTTGTGGTTTGGGACTGCATATATTTACTTGCCTCTCTTTTAGGGATTGGAATAGTATGGGTAATGAAGAGTTAATTCCAGTTCTTGATGATTTAAAAGCTGGATGGTTTCAGTGTAATGCAGGTATTCCTAACTCATAATCACTCATTCAGCAGATTTCCTGGAGTGTCTCCTATATGCAAGGACTGTTCCAGGTTCCAAAATTACAAAAATGAATACAATATTTCTGCCACAAGGAGCTAAGTATAGTGGGAAAGACAGAGATATAAACAAATAATTACAATGCATGTGATGAATGTAAAGTAGAGGTACGTATGTGATGCTATGGAAACGCTGAAGGAGGAATGCTTAATTTTGTTAGTGAATTAGTTGTCAAGGCAACAGGCTCAATAGTGGGAATCCAGTTTGTATACTATGGGAGTTTTTATGAGTGTCATGGAGGTATGTTTGTATAACCTTTCTTAAAGATCTTACTTTCCAGTGCAATTTATACTACAGAAAAAAAACCTGTTGCTAAAATTGT